GATTACTTTACTTTCCGAATCTTCATTTTCCAATTTTGTGTAACCCAACAATTGGCCATTCGGTTCCTTTAAAATAACTAAATGCGCTTCTTTAATCATTCGTGGGTGAAACTTCTTATCGATTTTTTCCATGGTAATAGAATCATTTTTTCGGCCGTCGAATGAAAATGCTATTAATTCAGAAGAATCATATCGTTTGTGTAGAGCTTGCCTATTTTTCTGCCTCTCGCGAACGCTTTTATTTTTGTCCATAATGACAGGATTGCCCCAATCATCCGTTATGCCCAGGTCACGCAGGATTGCCGTCACCACGCCAGACCCAACTCTATCAGAAATTGCAAATCTGTCGCACATTAAGGCATAGCTTGGAGCCTTATATCTTCGACTATATGGACCACGTTTTATATGAGAAGTATTTTGTAAACTTTCCGAACTGCTTTTAAAATCAAAATCAACATCTGGAGTATATGTCTCACCTGGAGTAATATTGCTAGTTATTGTAGATTCTGATACTTCATCTTCAATTTTTATAATATATTCTGGTATCGTAGATTTCCTCTCATTATGTTGATCCATCATAAACGCTTGTAAATGTTTTGGGATCAATCCACAAGAACACAGTAATCTTCGCAAATCGCATTTGCATTTTCCAATATAAAATAATTCTTTCGTGGATTCTACAAACTCCTGAAATGATGCTTGGGTAGACTTGCTTTTATTTGTACTTTTATATTTATCAATCAATCGGTTCAATTTTCTAGCGATACTTCGTTTCTCCATAATTGGAATATCAATTTTTTCCCACGTCTGAATCAATTTCGTTACCACATTTGGAGTAAATGTTTTATATGAAAACATTTTATTTTGTTTTTTTGATTCTTCGGCCAAATAAAAATAATACCTGATAATTTCCATACTTGTCGGAAGATTTACACCAGTAAATTCTTTTGCTTCCCCAAATGTAATTTGATCATGCGAGCGCATATGATTCAAATTACTAGCACTTGCGCCTGAATTTAAATAAGAATTCGCCATTGATACTTCACGTCTAACTGGAGAACTGAATGAAGATTTATGCGAATTTTCCACATTAATATATTCTTTTCGAAAGTTCGAGAATTATTATAAAAAAATACTAGCGCACTCTGATGGAAATAAATAACAACAAACTAAACCCGATTTAAAAACCCCCGTACAAACTATTAAAAGAAATATAACTTACAATTGGAATTATTCACATGCCTAAATTAATATATTAACTTATTAAAAACAGTATTTTATTGAAAATTTCGCTGGCTAAAGAGTTATTTGCGATATATGGTTTTGAAGTCAAAATTCATTTAAATAACACATATATTTCATATGAAAAGGTGCCCATATCGCTTAATTTTACTTCTATAATGATTCGGCCCACCCTAGTCATTGGTTTCTTAGAAAACTGTGGTTAAATATACGGGTTTTACTAAGAAATATCAATAGAGTGGGCCAATTTTTTGCATATTGAGGCACCTCGCTAATTTAACTTTTTACATCATTTGAAACAATATTGTAAAAAAAAGCATAACCCGCAAATGAATTTAAAGTCAGCGAAAAATTTCAAACATTTTTTAATTTAAAGTAAAAATTGAAAAATCTCATGAAAAATATATTATGACATATATCGAGTTATACATCATTTTATTCGTAATTTTATTCTGCATCTTTCGTACGAACAAAGTTTTTTTGTATCTTTTACGGTTTTGACAGTATAAGGCAATCTGTGTAGTTGTTAACTTGTCAAAATGCAAAGTGCGGATAGGTTAGAGCAACACTCCTCACGATTCGATATTTCTCTAAAGAAAACATATAAACTATTATACATCATTAGAAAGGTCTCAAAATTCTTAGTTCTTTTTCCATACATCACAACTTCGAATTTTGCACGGTGTGGCCTACAGGCGAGTTGCCGTCGTGAAAATTCGGAAAAATCGGAAAATCTAGAGAAAATTATATGAACACACCTAACCATTTATATACCATTTTATTCGTAATTTTATTCTGCATCTTTCGTACGAACAAAGTTTTTTCGTATCTTTTACGGTTTTTATGTTATAGAGCAATATGTGTAGATGTTAACATGTCAAAATGCAAAGTGCGGCTAGGTTGGAGCAATACTCTTCACGATTCGATATTTCTCTAAAGAAAACATATAAACTATTATACATCATTAGAAAGGTCTCAAAATTCTTAGTTCTTTTCCCATATATCACAACTTCGAATTCCCAACGGTGTGGCCTACAGGCGAGTTGCCGTCGTGAAAATTCGGAAAAATCGGAAAATCTAGAGAAAATTATATGAACACACCTAACCATTTATATACCATTTTATTCGTAATTTTATTCTGCATCTTTCGTACGAACAAAGTTTTTTTGTATCTTTTACGGTTTAGACAGTATAAGGCAATCTGTGTAGTTGTTAACTTGTCAAAATGCAAAGTGCGGCTAGGTTGGAGCAATACTCC